ACGCCTTCACACTGAACGTGCAATGTTAAATAATAAATAAGGCGTTTTAATAAAAATCTGTATGTGGCTTGTGTAATGCGTTCGATTGTGCAAAGCGATGGGATGTATATTGTTACGTGAAAGGATGATAGATAGCAGTTACAGGGTTATTAGGTTCATAAGTCGTCTGAAGATTCGATTAAATGTGCGATACATTGTTTTACTGTTCAGTTATATCTGATTTTATTCCAGCTGTAGTTTATTCTTGCATTTTTGTGGCAAAATCTGTTCCAGTAAAATTTGTTATTAGTATATAGAAAACCAATTAGTAAACATCGAATTTTGGTGGATTAGGAAAGAAAATTAATTGATTTTAATCAAGTTCACTTCAAGAAAAATTTCACAATATGTAAAGTCCACCACTAAGTAAACATGCTAGACAATGAATTAATATTCTTCTTTTAGACTCTTTCATAATTATTAATTGAATTTACATGGAGCAGTTCACAAGTCGTCGTATAAGAAAGTATAAAAATCTTCGACACTAAATTTGCAAATAGACATATACGATTGTAAAATTATACGGCAATTCACGATACGTAAATGTAAATTTGTATGTATATAGTGGAAACCAATAACCCTGTCTTACAATAATATAATAGAATATTTACACAAAACACACTCCACACAAAGAGTACATAATGCAGCAAAGTGACTATATCGTGACTTATTTTTTTATCTATGGTCATTTTACTGTAAAACAAAAAAAACAGAAGGAATATATAATAACGATGCTGTATCATTTCAAATCATTGTATTATAAAAAGTTACTGTGTAAAAGATTGATCCTCGTTATAAAAATGGAGCCATTATAGAACCGTTATAAGAAGGCAATTAATGTTTACATACGTGGTTTTTTTTTTTATTTCACGACATTTTAGGATTGCTCTCATTGTACTACTTTATTATGGGGACCCTTCTGTAATCGGAAAAAAAAACATTAGCTGATCCATATTGTTTCACCAGCGCAAAGTAGACTGTAGTCGAAATCCTCTTATGGGAGACCCGTGCCCCACTACCGGGCACAGGTCTCTCGTAAGAGGTTATAATGCGTTAATCATGATAATGAAACCAAAAGGCGTGGGACTGCCGACATTTTTTCGCGATTTCCTAGAAGGCCCCTAAAGGAAAAGTTGTTCATATTTAATTGTCGATAATTAAAATCGCCCAAAAAACAGAACAAAAAAAAGTGTCACCTCGTGTTATTTGAAAAGTTCTTCGCATATGATTTAAGTCAGTACAGCACCGATATACAGAATTACAAAGCATGCACATGGTATAAGCTCTATTATGGACATAACATAAAGTTCACAGATCACATAAATAATACCCATAAATAAAGTAAATTTTAGCAAAATGGATATTCAGCAAATTTAAGAAGAATTTATAGATGAGTTTCCTTATGCCGTCGACGTGAGAAAATTTCGTTAAAAATAAGCTGTCTCCTTAGTTGTACGCTAAGTTTACAACAGTAAAATATTTACTGCCAACAATTTATTTCACATACGAAATAACCATGAACTATATAGCAAAATTCTATTTTATATTGTTCAATGGAATTTGCAAAATTGATGCACTCTACTCGGATTCATACGAGTTATGCAACCTTTATACAACGCCTATACCTCACTACCATCTTTAAAAATTTAGGTCAGGTTAATAAATGCCAGCAGCAAACATATTACAATCCTGCAATGCGAATGACGTGGAACGATGCGATGGAGCCGCGAGGAAGCGATGACAATCGTTTTAAAGCAAGCCGAGCATTGTCAGTCATAAACGTGCCTAGAACGAGACGGGGTTGGTACTTCATAGCTTTGGGTTGTTTAATGGCTTTCTTTATTACTGTTATACTATAAAAAACAAGACAAATCAAAAAATTTAGAACGAATAATGTCATTAAAAAGGCACTCTGGATTAAATTAGCTCTTGACGAATCGGCCAACATGCGCTAAAAATTATGATTTAAAAGCAGGTGTATTAAAAAGGTGAGTAGCTTCACAATGCTTCCCATCATACAATATTGAAACGTTTTTGCCGTTGTAGCAATAACTCAATTTTATTTATGTATTTAAACATAATTAATGATCTCATATAGCACCTTCACACGACTACTCGACTTATAGAGCTATGAAGTGCCGGCGCCCGCGCTATTGTAAGGTAGTTACGTGTGATTGGGGTGCGTGTGGTCGGCCGCGTCGGGCGTCAGCGGGCGGTAGCGTCCCACGCGCTCCACCCCTTCTACATCTCCCCCCGCGCCCCCTGCGCACGGATACAAAAGTTATACCACTATCGTGAGTTCCAAACTACAGCCGCGCATCTATAGTTTTAGTATTAATTATACAACCAGGAATAGTTTAGGCCATTATACGTATGCATAAACTATGTTGTTATACATCACATATACAATTTAAAAAAACTATGGCATGGTAGTCAGACAGACATCCACCACATTGCTTATCACACTCCCATAATATTACAACCAACAAATTATGATGTTGCCACCCATAAATGCACTATATGACGCTTATACCACTTTTGGTATTCGCGATCTAAATTCCGTTCAAATACATGCAACAATTTTATATGACTCTTTATAAGACATCTTTACGACCCGAAAGCTCTAAACTATACTGCTCACAAATTAATGAACAGTTCATACAGATCTTAAGCAATTTAATAGTTCCGTATGGTGAAATGAAACATGATTATTACAGCAAATAAAAGTATAACGTGCTGTTTTCTTAACAATTACAAAATAGACACATAACGGTGTTTTTAAACTACTTATAGCACTATAATCTAACCTTTATGAATAATATTTATAAGTTTGAAGACATCGGTATCGGTTTTGCGAGATCAATCCGAAGAGTAACTACGCTCGGCTCCCCGTCTAACGAAAACAACTGTAATACATAAAGTATTTATGAATAAGAACTATTATTCATGAAAACAATAAATAAGGCAAACTTTACACGTTAACTTAAAATTGATGTTGAAATTTCACATCGTCAATGTAGTATAAATCAGGTTTTTAAAGTAAGTATACTAATCAAGACGATTATTTATCAATTTGGACTCAACGAATTTAATTATAACGTTTAAAAATATAATGTAACGCTTGCCATTGCTGTTGTACAACTTGACACAATCAGTTGTGTTTATTTTTTGTTACTATCGTATTAGAAACTTATAAAATGATACGCCAGATTTGTGTATCACCATCCCGAGACTCTGAACTGTTAGTATCGCCTACGTTTTCACTTTATCGCATTATAACAGTGCTAGTTTGAACAGGTGTATAATACAAAAAATGCTTATATATTCTTATCAGTATATAGATAAGTAATTCGACAGAATCAGGTCTTGTGTAATAGTAATAATAAGGCAAACATTTTACGTATAAAACAGTTTGAACAAATTCTAAGCCGAGCATCAAGTATATGTATAACCAGAAATAGAGACGAACGTCATTTAATTTGTTTGAAAACTGTTCTGCCAAATCATTACGGTGACAACTGCGCTGCGATTGGCCAGCCCGATATTGACGTATGTCGTCAATTGTTTCACTTCAAATCTACCAGTATAACTTAAGCTTTGCTATAATGGACGAAAATTGAAAAATTACATATTAATATTTAATTACCGATAAAATGTGATTCCGTTTGTTTTGTAATTAGATGTATTGCTGTTTTTCCCACATCACCGAATGGAACAGCCCCCATCGTTAGAGATATTATCTTTATGACAATAAATACAGAATATTTCAGAATATGGAATTTACGGAGAGGTACACACAGGTCAGTTGTTGGCGCTGTACTATTTTAGTTTTCTAATTTGTGATTTCAGCGCAAACAAGAGTTGATATTTAAAAGTGATATAAGACCCGTTTGCCTAATGAGTTGCCAGGGATGGATAGCCCTTATTTCATCTCTACTTTCCTGGTTATATACTCGATGAAGCAGAATTTCCTTGCGGTAACACCTCTAAATTTCCATAGAAATCGATTACAAATGTCTAAACTTGAAGGCGTTATAATGACTGTCTAATACTTCTTTAGAACCTCTCTGGTCAAACTAGCTCTATCACAAAGAAAAGCGAAGATATTCTAAACCTTATTCATTCTTTTGTATCTAGAACTGGTTAAAACTGTTTTTATTCGGTACTTTGGAGAGCATAGCGTATATTATATTATAGCGAAATAATCTTTTTTTTTTAGTACCTAATATATCATGAAGAATATTCTCTATACTGAGTGTTAAGTACCCTTTTGAGAGGGACACTGCAAAGGTTAGGCTACTAACTACAAAACGAAGTTCGGTAGCGGGACGTGTGTGTGTAACTCTATGGACCTGTATAAGTCACTTCATAGAATTAGAAAGACGTCTCTAAACAGATCCATACATTTACACTCGCGGCCGCCCCCGCTATCGGCTTTCGAGCTGTGCGGCGAAGCCTTCACACGGGTCAACTTTTTTGCGTTGATGTATAATACATGCATGTGCGTAAGTTTTCTCATCTCTCCAGCGCACAAAATAAAAAATAATAATAATAAAATTAATCGTAATTTTAAATCGTAATCTACTATGAACTATCTCTATCCTTTTTCTTTCTATTCTCCGACCATTTGCCGCTAAATTCCCTCCACGAGGCCCTCACATCGCCTAACGACAACCTAGGTTTATGTCTATCCTCCTCCTTCTTATGAAAAAACGTGTACTTCTTTTTAGTGTCGTCGGAAATCGTGTGATCGGAGGACACTTTAGGTATCTTCCCCTTTTCTTTAACGTCGTTGTGTCTATGAAAGAACGAGTGCTTTTTATTCTTTTTAGAGCCTTTTTTCGTTTCGACGAATTCGTCCGAAAACTCGGCGTCGTCGTCATGCAACGTTTCGTCGTCGGTGTTATTCAAAACGCTATACGGCCGAGAACGGGGCGCGCTCAGGCCCCTGTCGTACTCGTCCCCGGGGACCTCGAACGAGCCGCGGCTGCAGCGGCCGGTGCAGTGGGTTTCGAAGGAAGCCTGACTGCACTGCTGGCTGAGGCGGGGCGACTCGAAGCTCGGGCACGAGCCCCGGCCGGAGTCGCGGGCGAAGGGCGGGTGGAGCCCGTCCAGCGACCGCCGCGAGCCGGCGTGGAACGCGCTGGGCGCGGTTGGCGTACCCGAGTCCCAGTGCGCGTCGGGCTCGGTGTCGGGTTCGGAGCCGGACGAGGCCGACGACGACGCGGGCGACGCCGCGCGCGCGCCCTGCCCCGTGAACGTCGACGACGCCGGCGGCTTCTGCACGATCAGCTCCACCTGCGGACGGCGGGCTTTTAGCTTTTTTCTTTATAATACTAAATGACGCGACGAACAAGTCGCGTCTCGGGCAATTGCAGTGCCACTCAGAGCTTTATTCGCAAAGAAGAGAAGAGACATAAGTCGACAAACAAACAAGTCTAAATTTATATTCTCCGCGGGACACGGGACCTCGAATCGTTGACCAGACCCAATTTTTAATCTGACATTTTATTAATTTTACTTCATTACTTTTTTACTATTTACGAATGATGTATTATTGCTTGTACTATAACTTTACCGTATTTTAATTTAAATGTATTCCGACTTCAGCAACTACTGCGTCTAGATATATTCTGTTAGCAATATGTTTGTACAATAATGAAAGAAATTAATTATGAATTATGAAATCCCATTTGCCTGTACCCTTCGAAACCGGAACGCAGTCATTACTGCTTGGCGGCAGAAATAGGTAAGGTTGCTACCTTACCTTTTTCGACCTAGTACTGCTGTACTTCCCTGGACGACCTCTTTCACAAGAAGTTGTACTGCTATTCGCAGTCTACGCGAGAACCCGTTGCGAGAAGCGTTTGCTGTACGTGTTTATAGCTAAACAATAGTTATATGTTATGCAAGGTTGCAAAGTTGTTGTTTGAACGCGAGAGCTTGTATTAAAACTTGAGCAAGCGAAAGCCCCTAAGATTGAACCACGAGCGAATCGAGTGCTCCAGAAATACAGTCCTAAGTCGTGGATTTCAAGGCACGAGACGTAAAACAACTTTTCACCTCACTATACCGAGGAAAATGGTAGATGAAAGAAAAACAGTTGAATTATAACAAGTCAGTTATAATAAACAAAATTAGTTATCGTTGTCAATTTAATGTGAACAATAATAATAATAAAATATGCTAACGGATTTATATTACATAAATAATGTACGACACATCGCACAGTTGCACGTGTCATTGTTTTTTTTTCATCGAAATAAAAACTTAGGTACACCATAGTCCCTCCTGAAGTTCGAATTTCAAAAACCTTTTCCACACTAGCGTGGAAAAAACGCTTTGGCACGTAGATTTCTAATGAGAAAGCCTTTCCGGGCTAGTGAGGTGAAAAAGTAATTTTTCTTCTCCTGTAGTTTTAATCTGTCAATCATATTTTTTTTATATTACGGGACGAACAAGACGTGCATCTGGTGGTAAGCGACACGCCTATCCAAAACAGTTGCAGTGCCACTCAGAGCTTTAAATTGCAAAGATCCCTGAGACACCAGTTGACAAGTCCCATGCACCTGTAATTTCACCAGCACCCTAACATTATAAACCGGAACGCAGTAATGCTCACATTTCAGTAGATAGGTCCTAAAATACTGAAAGTATTCCATTCCTTTGCCGTACGTATTGGGGTAAATGAAGCAAAATGCTTCATGCTAATGGAACCTCCGAAATGTACCTTAAAATCGGGGCTGTATAATTTGTGTTGCTTGTCCTTGTGTGCGTCGTCCAGCTGCCACTTGTTCAGCGTCAGCTTGAACGTCTCCAGATTCATGCCTGGAAACATTTCAATTGCACTTTTAGAATATAAGTGCGAAAGAGACATCCCTATATTTCTCGGAAAGTAAAAAAGAGAGATTTCTCTTGCTGAAAAAGAGACAGCATTGTGCGCGGGCCACACCGCGAACGAAGCTAAGCCAATGATCCCGTATTAAACCTAAGGGGAAGAGCACTGCAAACACAAAATAGTATCTGGATTCCGTTTTATTTCTATTTTTCATCAAAAAGACAACAAGACGCTTACAACTCAACAACAAAAACCCTATTCGTTCCCCGCCCAAAATCATACAACTTCTTTACTGGTCGTGGCCTCTAGCGGCGAAATTAATAATTATTTATCTACAAAACAAATACTTCTAATCATTTTCTAACAGTTCTAATTACATTCTACGACTTCAGTGTTTATATAATTTCAATGTTTAATAATTAACGAATTAAACAATTATAATTGAACGTTTATGACTAAAGCATATTAATAAAATGTAACGAACCTCCGGAAGGAACATCTCGCGGCTACTAGCAGTATGTATACATGACAATTACGAATATAAAATCAATATGAATAAAAACAACTATTTTATGCAATGGCCTACAGCATTTTGATTGATACATAATTTGAAATTAAATATTAATTTAGTATTCAAATAATTATAATTACTAGTGATGTTTAATTAATGTCGTTTATAAGTAAGATGTGATCACGCTTTGGGTGAATCTTGTAACACCCGCTAGCTATGTAAAATATGTCACCCTTCACTCCCGCACTCCCTTCACTACTTACAACGTATTTTCTTAGCTTACAGCTTCGCATGCAATTACGTGAGCTAAGTTAGGTCGCGGTGTGGCCTGCGCTTTAAGATTTTGTTTCGCAGCAACTTTGTAAGAAAGTCAACTGCCTCAGTGGCCGAACGGTCATTCTGGACTGTCACGCAGAGTGTCGATTCCCGGGCTGAGAGAAATATTTGTATAGCCTACATTTTTCTCTCGTGAGCTTGGGGTGTGATTTGTGTTTGTCTATTTAAAAAAAAGTTATAAAGGTGTGAGGCTAACTGTCATCGGGCGACGACACGGGCACTGCGCCCACGCAGTTGGCGACGAAGAAGGTGTTGAACCAGAAGTGGAAGAGCTTCTCCTTTCGCATCATCATCTTGGGCTTGGCGAAGACATCGACGCGCACGTCGCCGGCCAGCAGCACGCACTGGTCCAGCGCCAGGCGCGCCGTGCTCTCGTGGCGCTTCACCTCGGCGCAGCAGCCCCCCAGCTGCAACACGGCAACGCCGATTTCATCTCGCTGAACTTCCACTCAAAATTCACACCTAGATATCGTCGGTGTTAATACAATAATACTGTAGTAACTCAACATTTGTATTTTTTTCAGAATCGATGAAAAACTAATTACTCACTTTCCGTGAAAGATTACTAAAATCTATATAATAGTGTTATAAATTTATATAATTTATATTTTAACCTACACGGTTAAAGTTTATTACAGGCATCTAAAGAATTTTCTATTCGCCTATATACTGATATTCGCGTAAAGACTTACAAAAAGTTTTGTCTTATTTTGAGTTAAGATGTCTTTTAATTGTTTTTTAGTATAATCTTGCATTAGTATAATCTCGAGTTTCACATATTTTGAGTTACAACACTATTGTAATGGCAGTGCGATATCGTCGATGTTTTATAGAAAGCGCTATTTTGAAAAATTTTATCAGGGGAACATGTTTTAAGGTTTTAACAAGACTGTTTTAAAATATTTACTTCCTGTTTTAAAATCAATTTCGGTTTTAATTAAGTTTCAATTTAAAATTGAATTTAAAACAGGACGTAAATATTTTAAAACAGTCGTGAATAACCAAAACGTGCTTCCTTGAAAAATGTTTCGAAATTGCGCTTTCGCCCTTTCTACAAAACACCGACGATATACACTCACAGGCGCAATTAACCGCCCACCCTGAAATTCTTCCCGTTTGCAGAAACCATTAAAGATAATGGCCCACCAAAGTAATGAAATGATATACGGCTAGATTCATAAAAAATATGTGTACTTTACAACGGTATGTGTCGTTTTACTGTGGGTACTGGGAATTAAAGAATTAAAAAATGCATGCTAGTGAAAAATATTTGTGTGTATACCAATAAATACAAATTTATTGTTTACCACTCAGAGAACAAGCAAACCGCGCAGGGTTCGCGTATGAGTGTAACAATATTAATTATGACAAAAAGTCTGACAAATCTAATTAAGATTTTCATACAATTAAAAATATGTTGAATATCAAAACCTTATTACCTTGTACTATATTAACTGAGCCATCATCTTTAAAGCGAATATGATGAAAGGTACGTTGACACCAACGTTTGCGCAATAAAATCAAATTATTATTTTTTTTTAAAGGACAAATTTTGAAAAGGAAATCACTTTATGCAATACACCATTCGCGTCAAGCGGGAAGATACACCCTCTAAAACCCTCACGGTTAACCCTCTTTGCTGGGTGTTGAGGGCGCTGTGGGAACCCGCAGATTCACCACTACGACGCCCAACAATAAAAGAAACCTAGGAACTAAACAATACTCAAACACTATGCTCACTGAGAACAGGAAATATAATCTCCGTAATGCTACGGTGACAAATAACGGCTAAATAGCAAAAATGCTTCGATGACAAATTTAAGTACAAGGATTTAATTTATTGCAAAAGTACCCACTTGTCAAAAAATATACACGGTGATAAGCCATAAAGATGTAAACAGAGTGATAAAAGATATACCAATTGTGCCTGTGAGTGTAGTTAGTTTGAATTCATTTTGCATGAAAGGTAAACAAACCGATTTAGTTAAAGTTCTCAAACAACCACTCAATAAACGGAATAAGTAACACTTTCATTTATGAATAACATCTTACAATCGTATTTGAAAAATGTTAGTCCAAAAGTGAGGTTATTTGTTTGTTCACGTTCACGTGACACGAACAGACAACCTGAGCAGACATAAATTACCACGTGACGATAATAGGCTACTCAACAGTGCACTGACCGAATAGCAATGTGCAAGACCACGCTGCTGAGTAGACGTTTCCTTTGTTTTACATTTAAAAATTATATTGTAGATATACACGCACACATGTATATAGAATTTGTATACATAGTCTAGTTTTTAGAAACAACGATCTCTTTGAATTCAGACATCAACGCTGTCTCATTGACGACGACGGAACTCTCCTGACTACAGCATCCTCTCACTGCGGTCAAGACACCTTTAGCCGTCAGCTTATCTGATCAGTCTTGTGAGTCTGTGCCATCTATTCCACCTACCCTCTGTTACCTTAGGTCGCATGGTAACAGGCTTCCTCTACCTATCTATATACGTATATGTAGTAGTGTATGGTTAGGGCTAGGCTGTTAGGTAGGAATGTAGGGTTGTTTGTGATAGGTTACAGCTTTCCCTTGCCATTTCTTGTATAGCCAGCTAGCTTTAATTACACATACAAGACGATACTCAACAGTAACATTCATATCACACCCAACAAATACAACATAAAGACAGAGATAAAGTTAGTTGGCTCTACATTTGTAGAAATACCTTGAGCGGCGGGTGTGCCTGCGAGACGGTGAGCTCGAGCTGCGCCTGCCCACCGTTGAGCTGCGGCGGCGGGCGCATCAGCAGCTCGCGCACCAGCAGCTTGCTCGCCGCGTACGGCAGCGCGGGCCGGTTGCGAACCAGCGCCTCGTAGTACTCCACGTAACGCCGCTGCGAGGGTATCGTCACACCTGGAATTCACCATTAGGCCATTTATTATCCGGACAATAATTGTGCACTGACGACACTACGTTTCAGATCTGAAGTCTTGAATAACTTTTTTTTTAAAAACACCCACCTCAAAAGTTCGTAGAATTACATCTACTTGCCAAGTTTATAAGGTTATATATAGGGGTTTTCAATAGGGACATAACAATTTTGTATTTCAATAAACCACAATAATTGTGATATCGAGCTGAAAATTCCAGATGCACGACACACTACACGTTACTCGATCTTGTTCATTATGACAACCTCGAGCACGTTTGCAGCGTTCAATTCTTTGGAGCCAATTTTCCACCACTCTTCCTCACATATTGGAAGAAATCTTGGCATTTCGCGTTTCATATTGTTCACAGTGCTCATTGCTGGATTATTGGCATAAACCAACGACTAAAGGTAACAACATAAAAAGTAAACCGACGGCGTTAGATCGCATGAGCGAGGTGGCCATTCGACTGGACCATTTCGCGAGATTACACGATAACTTCCTCTTCAATAGACCGATTGTTTGACTAACATGTCAGTCATATGAACGAGATCGAATTCCATTCTTAAATGTAACATGTGTACTGCACCCAGCATAAATTTCAGTTCGATATCTCAATTATTCTGTGTTTTATTGAAATACAAAACTGTCAAGTCTTTATTGAAAAATTCGATTGTTTTCATATAATTAGTGCTCGCGGCAATTTTTATGACGACGACGTTAAAGAGAAATGGTATCGTGATTACGTAGGTTTTCAAGCGCGTGAGGTAGACGTGAAGAAATTCTTTGCACGATAACATTGACTTACAAATAAATGGACGACGGGTCTAATACACAAACCACGAAAAAATGTCCCAAGTCAACCTATTTAAACGTAGTGACGTGTAAAGGAATATGAAAAAGCTAAAACGTTGAATTTAAACTGTAATGTCATCGCAGTACTGTCTAATTTTGCTTGCTTCGCTGTCAGTCGAACAAACGAAGGCTAACGCGTGAATGACGCTCTGTATACGATTTTAACGCCCTATAAGTTCGGACACTTTTTAGCGCGGACCCGACGTCCATATAATTGTAAGTCAATGCACGATAAATAAATTTCGTACTTTTTACAACTGCCTCCGTGGCCGAACGGTTACCATGCCGGACTGCCACGCAGAGGTCCCAGGTTCGATTCCCGGGCCGGGAGAAATGTTTGTATGGCTTACATTTATTTCTCTCGTGAGTTTGGGTGTAATTTGTGGTTGTCTATGTGTGTGTCCATGGCACCCGCGACACAGGGTTTCCCTAGTGTGGGGCTATGTTGAGTGTGTGCGTTATTATATTTATTATATTTATTATATTTATATTTATTATATTTTATCTTTTAGAAATAAAATATACTTTCTCACTGCAAAATAAATTCATAGTCCCCTGATTTGTTTATTACGTATCACGGAGAGAAAATTTCATTCAAATATCTCTAATAACAATAAAATTTAACTGATTTTTCCGTAGATTAACGTAGTAAAAAATGAAAATATTGCGGTACTTTGTAAATTTGTTTATCGTACGAAGTTTAACCCCATAGTTCAATACCCTTATCTTCTGTTTTCATTATCAATTAATAAGAAAATAAGTTGAATTCCGTATTCTATTCGACACGTCTATTGTGGGTCTCACGTCACATCAATACAATTATGTACAATTATTATTACAAGTACAATAAGCCTACTATTTATATTTAATTTTAATTTTATTCTAACTTTTGCAAATATTGTCTGTGATCTTAAATGCAAGTTTTATCTTGTTAAATAGGACTTACGGTAGAAGTATTGCAATGTATCCGGAGGTGGGAGCCTGGAGATATGTCACACATGTTAATAACACCTATGTATGGACTGCAGTCTCTTACCAAGGCTTTTCTTTTCCTAGTTAACATTAAAGTTAGCTATTTATAAGTATATTAATGCAAGAACTTTGATAAGAGACAGTAAAGATTATTATTAAAATCTTTAAAGTAGTTTTTAACCGACTTTCAAAAATGGAGGAGATAACCTCTCCGGGTTCTCAATTCGACTTTTATTATATGTAAGTTACGCATTTGTGAATTTTGATGATTTTTTTTTGTTATATAGAGGGTACCTCAGTAGTGGTCCCATTTAAATTTTAAGAAAATATTCCACCTCTAAGGGTGGCAAACCACGGGATGAATCCACTTTCCGGTAACTGACTTCAATAAAACTTGGGAAATAGATGTAATTCCTCGAACTTTTAAGGTATTAGGAGACTGACATTACTACACTTTAAGCATTAATTAAAATTAAATATTAATAATATATATATGAAATTGCTTAATGTGTAGTAATGTCAGTTTGCTATAAATGTCATATTTCGCTTTTAGTTACTTTATTATAGAGAGTGTGATATATGACAATGTTTTCTATGTATAGAACAATAAAGTCTTTATTATATAGCAGTAATACGCAATAAAATAGTTTCGAATGCTGGAGAGCACCAACAGCATACTTAGGATATTAGCCGATAGACCGGACAGTGTCTTACAAAGGCATACGTACGTACATTTTAGTCATTAATTTTGATTTTTATGATTGTATGTATTATTGAACTGTTATTATTTTTAGGAAATGAAACTATTTTTCCGGATTTAAATCGCGTATATTTGTTTTTTCAAACAAACCGACGTTTCGGGCCCTTTACAGGTCCCATGGTCACGGTTGACTGATTATTTTTATTATCTATCTATTACGGTTGTTATTATTTCATTTTATTATTGTATTATTATTATGTAAAATTATTACTGACATAGTTGTAGGGTTTTGTTGTAATGTACTAACACCATGGACCCATGTAGTCTTTAATTTTGAATTTTCTTTAATTTTGAAACAATTTTGAATTTGAATTTATTTATATCTGACCTTTCGGCTAGCACTCCCTCCAAAAAAAATCACAATGATTCAGGTACAATCTCCTTTGGTATTATTATTGATTTGAAAAAACACTAAGAAAAATTTCTCTGATCGGACTGTACACGAACCAGTGTCTGTTGCCTCGCCGTGGCTACGTGGCGTTCGACCTTTGTACCAATAATAAAATAAGTATTTCCACTTAAAATAAATGAACATCATTATAATAAAAAAACATCATGATATGATTCTATACCAACTAAGCCACGGAACGAACCAACGGACCTCACGAATTTTTCTATGTGCTTGCGTCGTGTCTTTGTACTTGGTCTTTCAACGACTTTTTATTTGTAGCGCCATCTATGAGAAATCTATTGCAGATTTATCACCCAGTTAGTACCTTTACAGCTACCAGTCCTGGCGAGAGATGTCGCTATTCACTGTATTAATTAAATTTTTATTGAATTGATATTCAATTATTTTTTGTGAAATTACTCCACTAGTTTGTTATAATTATTAATACAAAGATCGAACACTCAGAAAAAACACTCAGAAAAAATTCCTTCGATCCGACCGGATCTACGGATTTTATAACAAACTAGTGGAGTAATTTCACAAAAAAGAATTGAATATGAATTCAATAAAAATTTAATTAATCATGATATGATTGTTAATACAAAAATCGAACACTCAGAAAAAATTCCTTCGATCCGGCCGGATTCGAACAGACGTCGGTCATGTCCCATGCGCCAGCACCCTTATCCTTCAAAACCGGAACACAGTAATGCTCACATTACTGCTTAGCGGCAGAAATAGGTAAGTTGGCAGTACTTCCCTGGACAAAATCTTTTGCAAGGAGCTCCACTGCTATTAATAATGTTGGCACATTATTGTTATGCAAGCACGTCAATTGCCTGGTCTCAAACAAGGAAATAAATACTTTGTAGTATGAGTACCAGTGCAACGGAATTTAGTCTGCAGCACTTCTCTGAACACCCAGACCAAAACAAATTTAGAAAAGTTAATTTCCCAAATCGGTCCTACCGGGAATCGAATCCAGGACCTCCTCGTCTAGCGCCTCCGGTATAAACCCATACTCGCGTATCCCGCGGAAGACATTAGCTCGTTTCTAGTTTGAATGTTACACAATTGATCATGAAGATCTATGTTACAAAAATTGGCTTCCACACCGTTCCGTCACAATATAAATTGAGCCTAAGGCCATTCGAGGAAAAACTTTAATACAGCGATTCTGTATTTGCATAAAATGGGTCAATGCCATCTAGCGGATTTTTATTTAACTTTTTTTTATAATATCAAGTAAGTAAGTAGTTTTATAATATCGAACAAGCCGTGCGCCTGATGGTAGTGTAGCTTACCTATGTAGCCTGACCAAATTGAGCATAGTTGGTAGTAGATTACAAAAAATAGATTTGTTACAGTTTTTATTATTACAGCTTCATCATACGTAAGAAAGGCCCTTTCACCAAAAAAGGAGGTTATAAAATTACGTTTACAATACAAATCCGCCGAACAAAACCGTATTGTGTTACGTATTATATTTATTACAAAGATAAAAGGGGATCGGTAATAATAATTTTAAAATTTCTTACCTTTTTCGTCATGCGTTCTTTTCGTTCCGTAGAATTTGAGCGCTTCGTCCGCAGTCGCTTTTTGTCCACTGTAGAGAAGATAGCAACACACCATTGTGCCTAGAAGAAAGGACAAAATAAAGTTACAAAACCGATAAAAAAAATACGCTGAAGCCACGAAAATAAAAATCTTTTTAAAAATTTAGAAAGCTTTTTTTTAATGCTTTTTATAACTACAAAGACTCATTGTTTAGAGGCCAGGGTGGGCTTTGATCTAAAATGTTTTAAAGACACGCAAAATATAAATCTTCCCGAACAATCCGCTAAAGCCAATAAAAATTCGCTTGTGTTTGAAACGACAAAGGGCGTTGATATATTTATTTTATTCACTCTATTCTTTCACGGCCGTTTAGCGATAAAAGCCGACTTATTTACTCTCTGCATTTCTGGTAGGTAAAGCACTTTTTGCAATGAAGAATAATTTCAAACACGGTCACTGAACTTGGAACAAAAACATTCTATTGTCTTTATATAGTTGCAAGAAAACGTAAGAAGATATAACAAGTTCGTGTATATATTTTCAAGTTTACATAGGTTGGGTTATTATATGTTATTGAAAAACTGGCAGAAACCGGTTTTTATTAATACTTGCCATTATTCATAGTTATTGACACACACTGCGCAAAGTCAATAAAAAAACATGGCAAAAGAAATATAAAACAGCATTAACTTTCTCATAGGTTTCTTTGATTCATATTTTTAAGATACTGCAAATGAAACTAAATATTGTCGTAACTCAAAATCGTAGCTATGAAGACACGATTTGAAACTTCAAAAAATTACTGTACGAAACCAAAAAATATATATTTTCGTTTATAAATGAGAGAGATATAGAAAAAAAAAACAGTTTACATATTTAAGATTATTCTTAAAATTCAGCGTGTTTTGCCAGCAATTGGCATAGAAATAATAATAGCAAAGTATACAATGTCCTCATTTATTATTAAATATATTCTCGTTCTTCATTCTATCAAATTTTTTTTTGTAAATAATATAATTAAGGGAAAATAAAATTCACAATAAGAGTAACTCATGTCAAAATAATAAACATACACGGATAACTAAATATCGTCGGGATTTTGTAATATTTACGTCCTGTTTTAAATTCAATTTTAAAACTTAACCTTAATTAAAATCAAAATCTAAGTATTTTAAAACAGTCGTAAAAAACCTAAAACAAGCTAACCTAAAAAAAAATTTTTAAATGTCGCCCTTTCTACAAAACACCGGCGATATTATGTATGAATACAATTAATCACATTGCTGATAATAAGATCAATTCAGTATTTAAAAAAAATTTGAAATCGTGAGTTACTTTCTTATTTGGTTTCAAGTGCGACGTCCCAAGGCATTGTTAAGCAGTAGTATACAATTTAACAGCAGTAAAGCTCCTTGTGAAAGAGTTCGTCCAGGGAACTATCACCTTACCTATTTCTGCCGCCAAGTAGCAATGTAAGCATTACTGCGTTTCAATTTTGAAGGGTAAGTGGGCAGGCGAAATTGGGACATGGGGCACATGGGACTTGTCAACTTATGTCTTAAGGTGACGGGCGCAGTGGCAGTGCCACTCAGATCTTTATAATTTAAAGATTGGGTGACACTGGCACTGTTATGGACATGCGTTTCGCTTTCCATCAGGCGTAGTACTTGCTCGTCCCGTCACCTGGTATTACAAAAGAAAAAAAAATTATACATGCAAAATTATACGGAAATCGACTACCGAATTTCGACATTGTACATCAAACAACGAAAATCGGTTGCGACAGAGATACCGAAAAGATTCCGTAGGATTTAGGTTTATTTATTAAATTTCTCTATAGAATTCTAAAAATAACTCCAAACGTTGGCAAAACCGCATAGTAACAACTTTCACTCCGAGCGCCCCTTTCAACGTACCGCACTTTAAGGGCTTCCCGCATAAAAGGTCTCTAAACGGACCCTTTCCAAATTTACGACTTGGCCAAAGTCAGGATCAATTATGTTGTAAAGAAAAAAAAAGAAACGCAATTATGGGCACTATTTTATTGACTAACAATAGGGTTTTTTAAAAGGATTGTAGTTAGGAACGATAAAGGGGGCCCATGGCCCTGGTAGCCACGAACTATAAAATTTTAGACGGTGAGAAATAGAAATGAGTAAAACAAAGTTTTGTTCAGTTTTTACATTTAGTTTTCATTTTTATCAATATAATCAGTTTAAATTAATAAGTGAAAACATTAACGGATTTCAAAAAGTCACATGTCAAGTTGAATGAAACTCGATATCATTAGGACTTGCAAATAAAATTTGTTTATTTTAATCATCATCAAATAGATTTATTTAAATCGGAATTTAAACGTAATATCGAATAAAAATGTTTAAATAGAACACATTCCCCTTTATCACTAAATAATTTAGAGCACAATTTTGCACCTAAAACTTATTTACTAAAACTTAGTTTTTTCTACGATATCAAGTAATGAGACGAGCATGTGCGCCTGGTGGTAAGCGACACGCCTATCCTTAGGCCTACCCTCACTACAGTTGTAGTGCCACTCTCAGAGCTCTAAATCGCAAATATCTGACGACCATTGTCACTGCACCCGTCATCCTGAGACACAAAGTTGACAAGTCTCAGTAGTGTAGTTTCACAAGCACCGTGACCCTTGAAAACCAGAACAGAGAAATGCTCACGTTACTGCCTGGCCGCAGGGACAGGACATTAGAAATTCAATTCAGATTTTCACGTTTTATATTGTGGTGCAAATATTTCATTTTCGTCAAAATTCGTTACGAAAAAAGTTTTTTTTTATGATACCAAGTAACAGGACGAACAAGTCATGCACGTGATGGTAAGCGACACGCCTATCCATAACAGTTCCAGTGCCACTCAGAGCTTTAAATCGCCAAGATCTTAGAGGCATTACCACCGCGCCAGTCACCCTGAGAAATTGACAAGTCCCATGTGCTTGTAATCTTACCAGCACCCTTACTCTTATAAGCCGGCACGCAGTAATGCTCGCGTTACTGCTTAGCGGGGGAAATAGTAAAGGTCGACGAACTCTTTCACAAGGAGCTCTACTGTTACAAAGTTACGTTCGTTAATGTCGTAAGGGATGACGTTATTGTGATAATAAAGTTTAAAATTTTAAATTTCATCCGTCAATGTTTAGCTTAAGTGCTGCCATCTGTACATGACTATATTTTATTTGTATTTTTTCTTTACTGGTTTAATATTTAATATACACCACCACTCATCAGTTTTGTTGCAGTTGTTAGTGGTTAACGGTGTTGATAACATAGTCATTACATACATATTTACTGTTAAAAAATATAAGTTACATTGTATCTACCGTTTGTTGACTCAAGTAAATAAATAAATAAAAATCGTGGTACAGCTAAAACCTGGGGTCAGCATGATAAAGTAGGCCAGTCAAATCAACATCATTCGTTTAAATCAATACATGGACCGACTAAAGCACTTAATTTAAATTTATTTGTTTCAACTTGAATTCTAGTGGCGTCACATTTTCCGACACTAAAAACAAGAAAAATAATTACTTATTAAAAGAATTAGGCTTTTTTTAAATCTACCCACCCTTTTTTAATATATTTGGTATTAATATTCAAATTCTAATATATCTTTATTTCACAGGTAAGCAAATTATACTTGTAATCGTCATTGATTAAACTATACTACTCATTCAGATTCCCTTAAGAAGAATGAGTAAAACACTCAAGGGGTTGTTTTTTTACAATATAAAATATTTATTTCAAATATCGACACAATCTGTAAGAGCTAAACGCGTCACTGCCATGGATTTTTTTCATCTAAAAACACAAAGCTGTTTAATAACCTTTAGAATGAATTCTTATTATAAGTGTATGCATTGCCCGTAAAATGAATTTGTGACATTGTGGAAACACTGTCAAGACAGCCAGTTAATCTATTTGTCATAACAATGATAGATTTGGTTACGACGTGAAGTCAGTTTCCAATGATTCATGATTTAGGGCATTAAATAAAATAAATAAATAAAAATAAAAATTGTTTATTCAGTAACATAATTATCACTCCAGACCAAGTTTGTTTCCATACACATGTATTGAACTACGTAGTAATGCAAACGGTTAATTTCCGTTAAAATTAAGAGTATGAAATACAGTACGAAAAGCAAGCATAAGTAAATAATTATGTCTGTAGGGGGGCCCCAGGCTACGGCCCTGTATCTGTACCACGCGCAATTTGTACCCATAACCTTTGTTACTTTTGTATTTATGGTAAACGCAATCTCTTCAGGGTATCACGTAAAATATTCTTTTCAATGCCACTTCTTCAACGGGATCACTTTGTGCGTCGCGATTTTAGAACATTGTATATTTATCAGAAAGAAACATATTGATATGTTAAATACTTTTGTTTGTGGGGTAAATAGGAAGAACGAAGGCAAGAAAAATAAGAGTAATAAGCAACTACAGATTTGAACACTGTAACATTCTTAACTTGAAAGGGTGTAGTTAACTCCCATAAATCGGTTCAATGTAACAAAGACGCTATTATTCAATATGCATTGTTTAGTTATTCTTTTTTTCTAAGGATAATAGTAAATAATTAAAAATACTGGATCATTCAAAATACAGAAGAAGACATTCTTTGGTTACTACACCTAGATAGCAATAAAGTTCGTCCAGGAAAGTATTGCCACCTTACCGATTTACCTATTCCTGCCGCCAAGCGATAATGTGAGCATTTTGAAGGGTAAGGGTGCTGGTGAAATTACAAGCCCATGGGACTTGTTTACTTAATGTCTCAAGGACGGGCGCTAAGGCAGTGCCCGTCAGATGTTCGCGATCTAATGTTCTGACTGGCTCTGCACTTGGTATCATATAATCTCAGTACAGAGTACTAAAAAAACCGACCTCAAAAGTACGTGGAATTACGTCTATTTGCTAAGTTTCATTGAAATATCCCCTAGTTCGCCACTATACAGGACTTCATACTGGAGATAATAACAATAGGTTCTCACTACGACACTACTCAAAGTATATCGAGAGAAAAACGCCTTGAATTGGAGAAATAGCAAAATCAACTAAATAATTGCTAAAAGTAAATTAAAGTTAGGCGCTATTTATAAAAATGAATCTTCATGCGTGAACAGCCACCCTTTGAGGTGGTTGATTTTATTCAAAATAAAATGGGACCACTATGGAAATACCCCCTTTCCAACAAAAAAAGAATCATGAAAATCGGTTCACAAATACCGGAGTTATCGCGTAACATACAAAAAAAAAGAGAACATACAGTCGAATTGAGAACCTCCTCCTTTTTTGAAGTCGGTTAAAAAGAAGCGGTAAAACAGTATCAACGTTACCTGTGCGTCCTTTTCCAGCCTTGCAGTGCACGGCAGCTACGTTGCGGGGATCCTCCTTGAGCCACTTGTCCACGTCTTCGCAGAACGGCTGGATCAGTTCCATCTTCGGCGGCGTGTGGTCATCGAACGCGTAACGCACCACCTGTAAAGGGATCGCGTGGTATCTTAAGTTTTTATAGTCAAATTCCAATAATTTATTATTTCATAAGTAATACAAGTTACACTTGAAATCGTCATATTGGTTAAACTCTACTGCTCATCCGTAAGGCCGATTTTCCTGAGAATAATGAGCAAGAAATTCTGGGGGTTTGCTATTTGTAAATACCAATTGTATTTCAGATATTCTTATTCTTCTTGTCGAGTCAATGCCAGAAACCAGTAGCAATTCTGTGTTATATTTTTTTGCCCAATAGGCAGCCACCTCTATCTGTTGCTTTTGGTAACCTATCATAAAGTCGAAAATTTTTTTGTCCGAAATAACGTTTGTTCGAATGTTCATTACACCGAAAACCGAATTATAACGAAACAGTTGTTCTTTCAGGATATGTTGAATGTTTATCGCAAAGACACAAGTAGGTTTGGTTAAGTTAGATTAAGTTAGGTTTAAAAGAAAAAAACATTTTCCTATCAAAATTACTTTCGAGTTTATAAAATTTCGATCAAACGTTATTTCTGGAAAATGTCATTTCGGACTGCTGATAGGTAACCGTTGTCTTTAGCTGGTCGTCGCGGGTGCAGCTGGTTGGATACAGTGGGCATGAGAGCAAGTGATACTTACTTTGTGTGGGGAATCCGCAAGGCAATGGCTTTGAGTCGGATTGGCATATTTCAAATTAGATATATTTCAGAAAATTTCAGAAAAAAAAAAGAAGAAAAAAATTAATCATGATAAATTGCAAGAGTTAAAAGAGTCACAACCATGGATTTTTGTCATCCAAGTACGCAGAAGCAGCACCTTGAGTGTAAAGTTTTCGTTTCACTATAGTTCACAAACCTGGTAAATAAATAGAAAAGAATCCGTTGATTCTTCCATACAACTTGGCCCAAAACATGTACCTCAAGTACTATCACATATTATTCAATAAAAAATTACGGTGTATTGATAGAATTTTTTTTATATAATTTCGATGCCTTACTTTATTAAACTCGTATCTTAAAAGGAGTGATTATTCGGGAGTTGACAAAACTTTCTATTTATTTTAAATTTCTTATCAAGGGTGTCAATTTGGATGCATTACTTTAAGAATAAGTAAAAGCCAGTGCGTGAATATGAAGGAAATGTGATGTAGAATAAGCCTGCAACATTTGTATATGCAATCCATTGTTTGCATTTGAGTAGGTAACTTTGTGTTCTATGATACGAGTTTTAGGGTCGTATTCTAGAACTCTACTCAATGCTCAACTCAGGATTACACTGGAAACACAAGCACTGGAAATACGACCCTAATGGCAGGGACTTGAGTATGATTTCGAGTGCTTTGAATCATACTCAAATCCTGACTTGAGCATTGAGTAGAGTTCTGGAATACGACCCTGAGAAAGTAAGGCGACGATTTGTTAATCACTTGTGTGGTATGTATATATGACTGGCAACACAATAATTGTACATGGCAATGTCTATGCTTCCCACTATCGGGATTATTTAAAAAATAGATCTAATCGTCTTTTGCGGATCTGTAAGAAACATCCATTAATTCTTTTTTAATTTATTCATTACGAGTCAATTATTATATTATTAAAATATCTAATAAGGTTGGCTAAAAGACTATGTCCCAAGCTGTTAAACCCTGTTTAAATGTCACATATTGACACGGTCGACACTTTAACGTTATAGAGATTTTATATTCCGTTTCTGTTCTATGTTTCGTTCTGGTATGTTACTATTTGCGTTTTTCATATATTTGTCACTGTGTTTCTCAAAGAACCCGATGTTAGTTACAGTGACAGCTGTCAAATCACGTTTCGTCGAACGTAGTATTATTTATCGTATAATTGTAGAATTAAATTTCTATTGAATTTAAAAAGATTTCATGAAGGGACAGACCCTTAATTTCGCCTAAAAAAATTATTTAAGTAACCAGACGTCGTAGAAAAAATAAGAAATTAAATTAATTCGAACTGGTTGAGAGATGTCCATTTTGACAATCTATTGAAGACACAAATCATTGTAAATTTAAGTGAATTGAGCTCCAGCTCGTGTGAAAAAGATACAGATGACGACTTTGGTTGTGTTCATACATGCATTTAGATATTTTTTTTATTTTTATTTAACACACCTGTTTTTAAAATTCTCCACTCGATTTTAGCCTGCGCTTTAGTGATCTCAGGCTGGTATAAATACTACTAAATTACTATATTAGTAACTAGTACCATACTAGTATCAATGATATTGATTAGTGGCTGTGTTACGACTCTAAAAGTAACTGTCAAAAAGAGGATGTTATCTTGGCTCTACTTCATTAAAAACATTTTTACATTATAACTAATTGTTATAATGTAAAAATAATATACAATAGTACGTAATACGATAGCAATAGAGTAAATAATATAATTCGTAATGTTTATTTATAAACGAGAAGACGTCAGTACTCTATATCTTTAAACAAATGGGAGGAAATGACATAATTGTATTCTTGTATAATTTGTTGGGTTGCTTGAAAACCTACTTTAAAACAACGGCTCACGCGTCATGTCTAGACCCTGAAATTAAATAGATACGTCATAATTTCTTTAAATCTTGTATATTAATTATCCCCTAAGTTTCTCCGCACAACGTACCATTACTTTCCTGCAGGTACGTCTGACGCACCCTTACGACGATTAGTAAATCCTGTCACCACCATGGCAAATTTTATAGTGAATGCCATCGATACGACAAGAAGAAGTAGACTGCAAGTCATTATAAATTTGAAAAAACCGGGGAACAGAGCACCACCTCACTTTAAAGTCGGTTAAACGGAACCCCGCGCGCCAGTCATTCATAAAAATACAATCATACAATCTTAACCTGATACATAAGTGTAGCTAAACGTTCCATTGAATTGAATCGTGCGCATGTTGTCCTTCTGCGACGCTATAGAGTTACAAATTTCTTTATTAATCGTTCCACGTGTCGGTCGAGGTAAATAGCCATTGAAATAATAACCGCTCCAGCTGCCAGTAATTGAACTGTATACTGAACCGTCGGTGTTTTGTAGAAAGAGCGTAAGCGACATTTCGCAGATTTTTCAGAGGAGCATTTTTCTTGTCAGTCATTAAAATGACTGTTTTAAAATATTTAAGGTCCTGTTTTAAAATCCAATTTTAGTTTTGATTAAGATTAAAAATTGAATTTTAAAACAAGACGTAAATATTTTAATGTTTTTATAATAATAATAACGCAAACACTCAACATAGTCCCGCACTAGGCAAACCCTGAGTCGCGGGTGCCAATAGCACACATATAGACAACCACAAATTGCACTCACGAGAGAAATAAATGTAGGTCATACAAATATTTCTCCCGGCCCGGGAATCGAACCTGGAACCTCTGCGCGGCAGTCCGGCATGGTAATCGTTCAGCCACGGATGCAGTTAACGTTAAATAGTTAAGTTAGTGAGTGTCACGATGTTTGACCACCATGACATTGAATTATTTTTGTGAAATCACTCCACCAGTTTGTTATAATTATTAATATAAAGATCGAGCACTTAGAAAAAAATCCTTGCGGCTGGATTCGAATCAATATCTTCCAGAAAATCGTGCTATACAAACTAAGCCACGGAACGGACTAGCGGACCTTACGAATTTTTCTATGTGCTTGTTGCAGACCATTATTTTTGGGTTTTAGCGACTTTTTGCCGTAGTGTCTGTGAGAAATCTATTTCATCACTCACAAGACGTAAATATTTTAAAACAGTCGTTAAAATCTAAAACACGCTCATTCTGAAAAAATCGCCGAAATATCGCTTACACCCTTTCTACTAAACACCGACGATACATGAACAATTACATTGTATCCTTTCTACGTGTTAGAAAACAAAACACTTGAAGACCTACAAAATTATGATCAGCATCGCGATTTGGAAATAGGAGAAGGGAGAGAGGGAAATGATAAAAAATTATGCCGAAGTTCTCGAAATCAGTCTGAGATTTATAATACGACCTGTGGCTTCGACTAAGCAAAAATGGCTAAGCTGAGCGAAACTTCTGCCTCAGTTTATGCAAGAAATTACTAAGTAAACTCAAAGTTTGGTGACATAACATGCAACGGTTACCCTCGGCTTAAGCCTCTGGCCTTTCAGAGCTGTAACTGTCGCATGTTATATTATCTAAAATCATAGCCGACGCGATAACCACACAGCAGAATAAGAACAAGTATAGTAACTCCATATTAAAGCTCAGGCCACATAGAGGCGGTACAGCGGTCCGGGGGCGAACCTGCAAGATGCCAATGCGTACTGGGGCGTGCCACACAACAGCCCCAAGCGTAGTTCACGGCAGAATAGCGACGCAAAGGCGGCCAGTGTGACACCAAAAGCAGCCATGTTTCATTTTCTGCACAGATTTTAAGAGGGAGCAGAGGAAAAATTCCTAATCTTCGATTTGATTTTAGAGGGGTATATCCACTTTAAAGTTAAAAATAAAATATTGTATGAGTAACTACACGATATATTCAAGCATAGACACTAATCAGAAACATAAAACAATAAAATTTCCTCGATAGATAAAAATCACGAAATGACCTCTAATTTTCACATTTTTTCGATTCATCCTCGAAATGCTACAGGTTATTAGGACAAAAATTAGATAATTAATTATATTTATGCATGATCGAGAACTGTCACTACGGATTTTTTAAAATCCCTTTAGTTTCAGAGTTATTCCGCTAAAACGAATTTGGTACTTTTAATGCGCAAAATTCAACATCTCCTGTCGCATGTCACGCGAACTTCAGGCACATATTTGTTTCACAAATTTGGGAGGAGCCAACGTCAAAACTTCTTTGGCATGAGAGCTCTTAAAGAAAGCACCACACAGTTGTCGGGTAAAGATGAAGAAAATTTTCTACAATTTTTGTTATAATATCCAGTGACGCGACGAACGAGTTGTGCTCCTGGTGGTAAGCTACACGCCTGTCCATAACAGTTGCAGTGCCACTA